GTATAATGATAAACAAATGGCAACAAAAGACAAGTTGGAGACACCAGTTCCATTGGCTAAAGTACTATTAATCTTAAAATGAGACCAGTATCACCAGGCAGAGCATGGATAGGACTGTAGTGTAAGTGATTACATTCCCTTAAAGACTTTCCTGAAATCAGTTTAATGTAATTTATTTAAGTATTTGTGCTATTTTTCTTCATCTGTTCCACAGTATTTCATAAATATTGCACTCCATGCTGTTTATCTTAAAGCTTTAGTTACCTATTATCAAACCTTTCGGATCATCATTTTAATATTTGCATCACCCCTTTTCATTAAAACATGTGTATGCATGTATGACAAATATTATGATGTCCTATGGATCCCTCCCCACCTTTCATAACCCAGACTATGCCCCTGATTATGTGTCAATAATACATTTTCTTTCATTTTAAATACTCTCCATAATGGAAAATTGTTCCTTCCTGATGCTGCCAACGAGTTCATGTGTAAAAGTGCTTCAGACTCTGGCTTTAACTCACTTGTTATGACTGCTAAACACTGACAGGTGATTCATTTTTAATAAGTACCGCCTGATTTTTCAGCAATGCTATGCACTTTTATTCCCATCAGCTGCCGATGTTATCCTGGTTGATTGACCTTATCATGTTCATCATGCTTCACGCGTGCTGACGGCACTATTACTCATTTTCACTAACCAATTAAAGTGATTCCAGTGCTATTATGTTTAGTCTGCTTCAATTCGGATTCAGATTGAACAAGCATCGCTCTGTTCAATCAGAAAATGATTTTACAAGCGGGGAGATGCCTATCGGAGCGGTCACAAATTTCGAACGGCCTTTCTTAGGGACTTTTGTGTGAGCGAGTAAATCGAGCTAACCTGGACTAAAGAGAGAGGGGAAAAATCTGATGCTTCGTCTCAGCGAGAACTTAATCAAATAATCAGCAAAGGAGAAAATAGCTGGAACGAGCCGGTTCATTTCTCCCTGCTGCTCGGCTTCCTGAGATGCCGTGCAGATAAAAGTTTGATGAAAGCCAAAACCTCCACCTGGCTGCTGCGCAGTCCAACCAGCAGAGCCAGAGAGGTGGAAACAGACACAGTATGGACAGAAATATGCGGCTTATGTGTGAGAGCGCGACTAAAT